TGCTGTTATAAGTAAAAAGTTATCATAGAGAGGTAAAATATAACGTAAAAATTCGATTCTAAAAAAAAAATTAATATTTATAGTTAATGACTGTTATATGGAAATGTTGTTATATAAAGTTCCTACGATATTTCAAGTGCTTGCGTCCTTCCGTCTTGGGTAAGGAAAGGTGGTGGAAAGAAAGGGGGCTAAAATGATTGAATAATTGCTTGAAGTTCTCTTTTCTTGTTTTTTTCTAATCTTGTCTATTTTCATTTATCGGGTTTATGTGGGCACTAATTTGAGATTTTATTTCTTCTCAATTGACCATTTACTAGTGCGGCATAACTACAATGCACTTCATTCTAAAAAAAAAAAATTATTTAAAAACATTGTTTGCTTATAAAATAAGTATGATCATGTTTTGGGAAAATAAGACTTTAAAAAATTTCAAGTTCCCAAAAACTGGTTTAGGGCAGTTTTTGGGTGAAAATATTTCTTCAACTCACAAAACTTCAACTTTTCTTCAAATAATATGCATGTCCAAACACAACTTCAACTATCAAAAATTAGTTTTCAACGCAACTTCAAAAACTCTTTTTCCAAGTTTCAATTAAAGTCCAAACGCTAGCAAAGTAATTTTCATTTCCGCATAGAAACAAATTAATCCAGTGTAATTGCTAAAACATAAGGTGAACTATTTTTCGTCAAAATCTGACTGCTGACTACATGACGTGGCAGTCCGAGATGAAGGTGAATAGAAACTTCAGAAATGGATATAACCGCCCATTTGGGAAATGTACGATAAGCTTGTTTACCTCGAAAATATGAGTAACAATTAAATTTGATTTATGATTTTAAAGATATGTGATTTAGTTCAATACTAATTAATAACCAAGAAATCTAACGTATAAATGAAAGAAATAAGTAAAATCAAACCAGAGTGCAAGCCAGTCTCGACCTCGAGCTAAGGTGGCCTCGAGGTAGGTCAAGAACAATAAAGTTAAAGGACAATTCTGGTGAGCAATGAGCAAGAAAGTAAGAGAGTATATTCTTTTGCCACTGATTGATGATGGTTACAAATGATTGGGGTCCCCTTTATATAATAGGGGAACCCTAAATAAGGTACATTTCTATTTACAGTAGAGAATCTTATTGGGACAGCTGTCTAACCGCCTAGTACGGATTAGTACTACCTCGTACAAATCTATTTCGGAATTTACGCCATGATCTTGGGGACGTGGCAGGAATCTAGCTCATTCTGTTACAAACCCATAAGGGCATTATTTCGGGGTTGGTCACACTGGGCTCCAACGTTCCTCGAACACTTAGATCTTCGAGCCTCATGTTCTGCCCTCGGGCTCGAACTCGATCCATAGTGGGTCTATTCCTCGACGTGAGCCTTCTGTTCCTCGATGTGAGCCTTCGAGCCCACAAGATCGGGGGCACATGATTTTACCGTATACAGATAGTCCCCGCGTTTCTTAGAGTAAAGTGATTATAAGAAACGATTTGAACCTCGATTTTCTAGAGTCCCTGATGATGATGTCATTCCCGTAACGTAGGCGCTCAAAGTGACCGAAACGTCCCGTCGGTTCGTTCCCCCAAAACATTAAATGTTTCTCCAGTGATGGTCGGCCACTAGCGCCATTGAACCGTCGCCTCTCGCCTATAAATATAAGGTTTAAATCCTAGAGAAAGCTTTACTTCAATCTTCAAACCATCTCTAAGCTTTTTCTATATCTCCTCCTTTCCATCTCTTTTCTCTTATTTTCCTCTACTCCCGTTCCTTTTAGTGTTAGAAAATACCAAACTCCATCTATTTCCACTTCCTCTAACTCGAATCAATGGCGAAAATCTCAAAGACAGTTCCCCAAAAGGAGAAAGCTTCCTCCTCCTCTTCCCGGTAGGCCAAACTTGTGGCGCCGAACCTTCACGAGATCACGGTCGTCCCCTGCGTGATAAAGAAAGACTTCAACGTTGAAAATCCCCCGGCAATCCCAGGCCGATGTGAACATGTATCTCGATATATTAGTTCGATAACGAAGAAGCAACTCAAGGCCATGAAGAAAGACTGTGGCTGGGGGGACGAGGTCGTGGTACAGATCCCCGACCCCGAGGAGACATCACTACTCATGTGGAGGGGTTCTTAAGTGTTTACACTTACCCCTTCCCAGTGGGTCCCCTTGATCCAGTAGTGATTGACTTGTGCAAAAGATATGAAGTTACCCTCGGCCAGATCCATCCCTCTTTCTGGCGTATCATGATTATGTTGCGCTACTTCTCTAGCAAGGCCGAGGGATTAGAGTTTACCCTCAACCACCTCATTCGGCTGTATCGGCCTCAGCTTTTTCGAGGGTTGATCAAGCTTCAACGTCCATCAAGTAAAGCCATCTTTGCTAGCAATGACGAGGATAAGGACCGAGGTTGGATGAGCCGGTTCGTCCGAGTGAGGACCTCGGACGTCACCCTAAGGGAAAAAGGCCGTTCCCGGAGAAATGGAATCCTAATCGTAAGTGAAGTCCCTTTCCAAGTATCTTCTTATTCTCCATTCCTGCCTTTACCTTTTTTGCAGCTGAAGCTAGGATGCCCCATGCGATCCTTGACCTCGAGGACTGGGTCCGAAAACTGGCTGCAACCTCCTCGTATGACGAGCGCAAATGGCGTGACTTATCGAAGGGCAAATGGGAAGCCAAGCACCATGATTAGTTCTTCTCCCAGGTTTTTGATCCTTTCCTTTTATTGGAGATGTTATCTCACTTATGCCTATTTTCATTTATGCAGGTGATGTTTTATACTTCAATACCACACAAGAGGGGGGGGGGGGTGATTTGTGTGGTACCCAATTTTTGCTTAACTTGATTATAGAAGGACCTGGTTCTTCTATGTGTTCCAACTACTACTGTTTGCGGAATAATAAGTAAAGAAAATAAAGAACACAAAGATATTTACGTGGAAAACACCTGGATCAAAAGGTGAAAAAAACCACGACCTACTACTCAGTAGGATTTTCCCAAACTTCCACTAAAATCACTGAGCCAAAAACTGCATTTACAAAAACTCTTTTATAAACCTAGGATTAACTCTAATCCCGTTGTGGCACACAGCCTCAACTGCTGCGACAACTTCAAGTTAACTCTAACTTGAACACTCTAAATACCTAATACAATTGCTTCTATAAAAGCTGAAAGGTACAATGTAAAATCACCTACAACAATTGAACTAGAATAAAAGATAGACACTTGGAACTGGTTCTTCTATCTGGTTCAAGTAGCTTCAGGATTGCACGCTTGAATCACACATAAATTGCTTGCAAAATTGCCTCTCTATTTTGCTCTCAATTCACGTTTAACTTCTGCTTATGTGCATCACCTGTAAAAGAGAACAACACTGATATTTAAGGAGTTAGTCATAAGAGATTGACTAGGATACAGATGCTACTCTTCCATCGTGAAAGAGTTCTAGTTGATCTCATACTCTAACTCTTATCCTTTTCTTAAACCGTGTTCTCTTTGTATAAGGAATCTTTCTCCTTATCCAATATGCAACCTTTTCGATCATGATCAGGAGATATCAGTTCTGATAAGTAAGGCTTATTTCCTTCACGTACATCTCACATGTTTGGGTTGATCACTACTGTGCCTCACAAGATGGACCTGGTCCATGATTGAGTTCTTTTGTCAATCTTCAAAACTTCACTCTTACTTGGGCCAACAAATTCCCCCTTTTTGATGATGACAAACTCTGTGCTTTTTACTTGCTTAGGCCCTGTAAGAACTCAGCTCAACATCAATACATTATTAGAAATATTTTTCCTTTTTATCACTTATCATCAAGGACCAGGTACATTAGGTTATAAACATCACTGTTCAAAGTCTAAACATCACTTGTTTAAAGCACAACCTTTTCCCCTCTTTTGGCATCATCGAAAACTTTCATAAAAAAATGTGAGATAACCAGATTTTAAAGCTTACTCATGGCCGCTGGGGCTACTTCAAATGCAAACATGGATTAATCATCATAGATCAAGCTAAGAATTTCAACCATCAAAGAAATATAAACAAATAGTTAGAGCAAAAGACAGTGAATTTTATTGATGATTGATAAGATTCTACCACAAAGCATAAGAAGAAGTGAAAATACTGAAAACATGAGAAAAAGAAAAAAAAAGTCCGGAATTGGGTTACTGGTTGATCTACACTAGGCTAGGATTTAAGGCTTGGAAGAGGTAGGGGCTGGGTTATTTTCTTGGAGAAGTTTCAGCATGTCTTGAAGAATTCCATCATTCTTCTCCTTTTCCCTTGCAAGTTCAGTTCTGAGAACATCTCTCTNTAAGTAGTTTTAAAAGGTTAAGTAACTCTTATGTTTAGTCATGTTTTTGTACTGGTTTTGTTATAGTTGTCCCCTTTTTATAGAGTTGTATTGCCTCAAGGACACCTTCAACAACCACTGAAACTTGGTCAACAAGTGGTAGACATTAGCTGTTGGGCAATCAGGGACAGGGAAGGGTAATGATTCATTCTTAAGATCAGCATTCTAAGACCATATAATCTGGCAGAAAGGAGGGAAAGCACTGTCTTACTGGTTTTCCTGTTTCTTTCTTTTTATTTATTTATTTATTTACTTATTTGGATAAAAGATGCTGGTTCTCTATAGTTGGACCATAAGAATCCTTAGCTAGAATGGTTTTGTGAATTTTCTATCTCTAATTTCTCTTCTACCTAATCTCTGTCTATTCAGTTTGCTCTCAAGAAGTGGTGAGCTTGAGTAACCAGTGTTCTGTATAATGACATATTTATAAACACTCATAGTTTTACGTGTTACCTGCCTGGTAGAAAACACATTGATTTATTAAGTGGAACCATTGGATGATTGAATGCTAGTTGTAGAGAATCACACTTTTTCATGATGATTTTCCACTTTTTATACACATTTTGTATGCGGAAATTTCCCATTTTATTCAATAAATTAGTACCTTGTAAAAGGGAATAATAATTTAAAAGCTTGTGATTTTTGGTAGGTTGGGTAAGAGGATAATGGGCGACAGTGATAGCGAGGATCTAGATGATGATGACAGTGACGAAGACGAGGAAGAGAATGACAAATCCATTGTCATCGATAATGGGAATAATTCAGACTCCAATGGAGAAGCAGAGGGAAGTTTGGATTCTGTGACTGGCAAGAAAGTTGATGGTGTTGCATCTGAGAGCGGCCCCGAGGAAGAAAAGGATACTCCTCTGAAGAATCTTGAATCTGGTAAAGATGTCAACGTAGTTTCAGTTCAGCATGAAGGTGAAAGTCCGTCTACACTCACTCCGGACAATCAAGAAAGACCTGGACAGAATTGTGTTGCCTCTATTTTTGGCACTGATATTGCATCTGCAACTGAAAGTATTCAAACAGAAAAGGAAGTTTCTGGTAGTTCTGAGCCAATTGTTGTGGAAGCTAGCTCTGGTGAGAAAGAAAATGATGTTGCTGAAGCCAGCCATAGTTTAAGCCCTAAACTAGTTCCTCTGGAAGATGCAACCTCAAAGGATTCAGACTTGAAAAAGTCTTTCAATTTTGAGGAGTTTAGTTCAGCAGCAGAATTGGAGGTATGTATGCAGATTCTCTGATATTGTTGTGATATTGTAGACATCATATGATTCCATTGCGTAGAACATGTGTGTGGTTACATACATATCATTTAGGCCGTCCTCTGATTGCTACCAATTGGCTCTCATACTAGCTGGTTTTTTATCACATTGAAAATAACAGAGAGCTTGAACTTCTCTTATTTGTGGACGCTGGGTGACCCGCTCTCTGTTTTAGATTAGCTAAAAATTCCCTAATGTCCGCACAATGTGGGTAACTGTTTACTTGTTTACATTAGCCTAGCTGATGGGAGTAATAAATAGGATTGAGTCTCAGACCTTTTATATCCTGCAGGCTGCGGTGCAGGGCAACTTGAGACAATTGAGATAGAAATCTTTGAGAGAGTTGCTAAACATCTCATTTGTCATGGTCCATTCTCTTTGTTATTACCTTTTAGATGTTAGCTGAATCAGTGACATTGCTCTTCGGTGACTATAATATACTTTGTTAGGACTCAATTGGATGTTATAAAGGTTGCCGGAAAATGTGTTCCTGAGAAAATTGCTGTAAAATCAGAAAAAGAGAAGGGAAGTCATTCTCTAGAATTCTTTGTTTGAAAGGAAATGAGTCTTAAATGATAAGAAGACCATTTTCACTTACGACAAAAAACAAAAGCCCCCAGGGCCTAGCTCAAGTGGCAAAGGGTGGTGGATTTGTGTCTTAGGTCAAAGCCCCTACACCATGTAAGGCAAAGCCTGGTATTTAAGTGGAGAAGGGTAGGGGGGCGGGCCCATTATCCACCGAGTTTCGAAGGTTGCGGTTGGTAACAAAAACAAAAAAGGAGGGACTATTTTCCTTTTCTCTCATTTGCAGGACTTTGGAGGAAATCTTAAGTGGGGGGAATGTTTTAAGTGCTTTTCTAACAACTTTATTTCTATCAACATGAATAAAAAAATTGTACTCCCTCCGTTCCAATTTATGTGAACCTGTTTGACTGGGCACGGAGTTTAAGAAAAAATGAAGACTTTTGGAATTTGTGGTCCTAAACAAGTCAAAAAGGGCCCCAGAGTATTTGTGTGGTTATAAAAGCTTCTCATTAAGGGTAGAATTGTAAGTTTAAGCTAAATTGTTTCCAAATTTAGAAAGGGGTCATTCTTTTTGGAACGGACCAAAAAGGAAATAGGTTCACATAAACTGGAACGGAGGGAGTAACAATTAACTTCCGGTACTTTGCTGTTGCTTTCCACCCAATTGAATGCTACCTATGTGCCTTGTTGCAAGTAAGTTTGTGTTTTAAGGGGAATAAGGTTGTGCGGATGTTGGGCGTCTGTTGTTTTGGGCAACTCTTGTGTTAAGGCATTGCTTGGTTTCTGACTTTCTGCAGTGAGTCTTTACTTGGACAAGAGTATGGAGGTCTCTGACACTAAGCATTTCCTGTCAATCTGACTTGAAGAGTGCAAGGGTTATCTGTTTTTTGACATGAATGCATTTGGCATATAATTAGTTGCTATATTAATGGAAAGTGTATCATGATTTTGGTCATTGGAGATATTCTATTATCTGTTTGGTTCCTCATCACCAGTGATGCTTGTCTTGGTGTTAATTGTAAATGTAGCTGTCGTGTCGCTCTCGTTTATAGTTTTATTGTACCTTATTAATGTTTTTTGATTTGGTTTTATGTTAGGCCCTTGGTATGGAGAGGTTAAAATCAGAACTTCAAGTGCGTGGACTGAAGTGTGGGGGCACTCTGCAAGAACGTGCAGCCAGGCTTTTCCTACTCAAAACCACACCTTTGGAGATGCTTCCAAAGAAGTTGCTCGCTAAGAAATAATTGTGTGCTCGTTTGTTTTTCTTTTGAGAAGCTGGTTGTAACTTTTAAACCCAAATGCTTAAGGGAAGTGTCAGCTTATTCTCTGTTCGACGTACCATGTAGAATTGTAGATATGAGTGTATTTTACTGGGTTCCAGAACATGTTCCGAGAACGATTAATAGTAGTTTGCATTTTCAGAGTTATAAAATATGACAAATGTTGATGTTGTTTCGATATTTGTGAATTCAACGCCGTATATGCATGACTGCATGATTCGTTTTACTAATACTAGAAGCTTAGTACTGGTTTTTAAACGAATACTACAAGTACTACATTAAGAATCATAATAAGTTACGGTCTCCTATGGATAGTCTTTGGTTACATTCACATTTTTGTTATGTCCATCTTTAGAAGGCATTTTTCCCTCTAGTTTCCCAATTCGTTTGAAAGTGGAAATATTAACTAAAAACTTCGAAATAGAAATTAAAAGGATTGAATCAACCTAGATTGAAAACATAATCATTGTGGTAAGATGTAGGCAGGCAAGTTAGTTACATCAATTTTCACACTTGTCCGTAGCTCTCAATCTAATCATTGTGATAAGATGTAGCTCTCATAACTCTCAATTTGGAGCATCATATAGATATATCTTTAATCTTGAGGTAGTTGATTTCGCCCACAAAAAATTCCCCTGAATCAGGGAGATGAAGAGTTGCTGCCTTGCTTTGGATTATCACACCAAAATCACCATAAAAGAAGTATACATTAGTGCTCCTCAAATCCAAATAAATTGTAGTTGGTTGTAGTAACTTAACGAATCCATTGTATTCATTTTTCTTTACTGTTCATCATAGTTTGACTATTTTTACGCCAATCATCTGTCTATTGCTAATCCCTTTACTCTAAACTAGGGGCCAGGTATATGTTGTGAATCTAATATAGACAGAGTTCATTATACATCAAATATGCTCTCATGTTGATCGGAAAGCATCAGTAAGGGAGAAAAACTCACAACTTGGAGAGGACGTGAATGCAGGATTTGGACTCAATAGTCCAGAGTAACTACTATATACTATATAGTATATATGAAGAGCACAAGATCATGAATGAAGAGAATTTCTACAAACAGGACAAGTGCTATTCATTTTCAACCATTTATCAACACATTCAGCATGGAAGCAATGTTCACATTCAGGTATGCATCTCAGTGTTTCTCCAGCACTATACTCAGCTAAGCATATTGAGCAAGTTATAGCATTAATTCCCGGAAGGTGCCGGCTTTCACCAAAAACCACTTTCGGGTAGGACTGAACCGTGGATTCATCAAGCCCTGCTATCACATTCATTGGCATTGGTGCTAACCTTGCCATAGCGGCTGCAGCAGCAGCGGCCGTGACTTGGCGGTGATGCCTTAGTTCGAGAAAAATTCGACATGTTACGCAGATTAAACAGAGGAGGGATGGTAGAATGAGGGACACACCTACGAATATGATCAAGATTGCTTCTTGACGTGAAGTCTTATCTGTCAAATCATGAAAATGATCATATATCCAACGTAAAATCAATAATTAGCTATCACATAACTTTATGCCAATTACATATATAAAATTTGTTATATGCATGTGTGAAAAAGTATAATAAAGAGTTAAAGCACAAATGAAAGCCTAAACCTTACGACTATTCATCTAATTAACATTTCGTGTACGCAAATGCGTTGGTGTGATAGCTACACAAGGCACACCAAAACATTTAGCTACGTTCTCTATGCACTTATAGCAGTATTAAAATATTTACATTATTAGATCACTTAAAAGGTAACTGAAGGTAATTTTGTATAATCCATCGATTAGCGAGTTGAAAGAAATAGTAAGTAACATGTTATAAAAAGTCAAAAGCTTCACCTGTTCTTGGGACATTGAGATGAGTGGTTTCTCCACTTGTTGTCATGTTACTATCTCTATATTTGTCAAGATGAACATCCCATGATAGTCTAAGATCTCCATGAAAATCAGATAACAAGAAGAAGGTGTAGTTCTGAGAAGAAGAAGCCGAAATCGGAGAAGAAGGAAGGTGAAAATGTAGGAGCTTTCTTGGAAGACAATTAGAGGGATGTTGGAGTTTTATTTCTTTAGTGGAATAGTTGATTTCTAGTACAAGAAAATCTCCTGAATAAGGAATATTGAGTAGTGCATTGCCTTGATCAGTACACCTTAGGAAAAAACAATTATTATAACCTGGATTTTGATCTTGATGTTTTTGGGATTGTAGTTGGAAAGGGTACCTAATGGTGAGATTCCCACAAATGGAAATGTTTGAAGAGAAATATGTTGTAGAACTACTAAGGGCAAAATGATGGAGAAAAAGAAAGAAGAAGAGACTCAGAGTGCCCATAGGTCTCCTCTATGATGATTTTGACTTTTTGGTGAAGAGAGAGAAGGAATTAAGTTCAATAGTGATTTAACATAGTAGTATATCTCAACAAATAACAAAAAAACATAGTAGTATATATGCCTAAAGTATTATGTTTAGTGTCTCATGGGTCATTAAGGAGAATCAAGAAAGAAAAAATTCTTGATTATCAAAACGTACGTGCAAAGCATAAAGTGAAAAGACATGTCTCGTATAAGTGAATTTTGAAAATTAGAGTTGTGTTTGGATATGAATATAATTTTGGATTGTTTGAATTTTGTGAGTGATCTAAGTGAAAATTTTGAAAAACAGCTTTTTAGAGTTTTTCAAAATTTCGAAAAATTTCAAAATTCATCTTCAAGTGAAAATTGGAAATTTTATGGTCAAACACTGATTTTGAAAAAAATGAAATTTTTCGAAAAAAAAGTAAAAACTCTCATGGCCAAACGGGCTCTAAGTATCAAGCAAGAGAAAGAAAGAATCAAGCTTATCATTTTGCAGAAGAGGAGAAGACTTTTGGCAATTTATTGTTTAAAGTAGGAAAATCAACTAAGAGTATATAATTTGAAGAAATGCAAGGGTCACTGTCCCTTGAGCTTCAAGAAAAAACTCTACATTATCAAACTTAGCGAAGAATAAAAAAAAGGAACAAAAAGACACTCCTAAAACCTGGCCTGATACATAATACATTGAGCGTGTCAGAGGGGAAATTAATTATTTCCGGCTTGAAAATGACTAATACAATTGATTTTTCTTTCTTTTTCATAGTTAACAAGTTGGAAAGCTTCAACTCAATGATAATAAAAAAACAGGTTACTGAGATGTGAACTAGTAAACACTATTATCTATCGGGACTGTACACACTAATATTTGATTAGAGTTGAAGAAACCAAAGCTAATAGAAGAATACGAATCACTAATTAACATCTGCTTTACATATGATCTAACTATTAATGTTGGCTTTGCACTTGGAACTCTCGCGTTTGCTAAAGCTTGATTATTTTGATCATAACACATAATATTAAGGGATAGCAAAACAAGACGCGGTTAAGGAATTTAAGAATTTAGTCCAAATATAAAGTTATCCAATTAATATAAGTAATAGATTCCTTCTTGAGTAAATTCCACATTACCCCTTAATCTTTTAGGGTAGGAAATGATACCCTCTTTTCACCTTTTGAAAGGGAAAGGGAAAGGGAATTCCCTTTGACCCAAAACCAACCAAAGAAGTAAAAAAATCCTTGTCGGAATTGATAAAATGTCATTTTTTCCTCCAGTATGATTACGTAATATGATTAGTTTTTTCCTCCAAAAAAAAAAACTAATATAGATAAGCATATTGTCATCAGGGGCGGACCCACATGGTGTCATACGGGTTCAAATGAACCCGCTTCTTCAAAAAATCTTAATATTTTATATAGGCTAACCGTATGAGAAATGGTCATATAAGCTAAATTGGCTTGAAACATGATAGTCTTGTGGTCCAACGGTCTTGCGGGTTCAAATTTTCCTAAAGTTCAGGTGTTCGAACTCGTCTCTGCTCTTCCGTGCTTTTTTATCTGTTACGTGCACTACAAGAAAAATGGCCTTTAAGTAAGGGAATTCTGGTCCCTAAAGGTTGAAATCTAGTCCTAAAAGGGTAAATTACGAAGGGAAAAGGCTGGTCGTAACCCGTCGTAATAGCCTCCGATGCTAAATGTCAATAACAACGGGTCTTAATACCTGGTCGTTAAATCAGTTTAGAGACGGACAAAAAATCTAGTCGTTAAATACTTTTAAAGACTACATTTCTCGTCCCTAATAGACGATGAAAGAAATATATATTCCCGTCGTGGAATCTTTGTAGCGACGAACTGTAACTGGTCCTAAATTATCTTTTAGAGACGAACAAAAAACCTGGTCGTGAATAACTTTTAGAGATTACATTTCTCGTCCCTAATAGACAATGAAAAATATATATATTCCCATCGTTAGATCGTTTTAGCGACTAACTGTAATTAGTCCTAAATTATCTTTTAGAGACAGACAAAAAACCTGGTCGTCATTCCCATCGTTACCATTTTCGCGACCAACCTTTAACTGGTTCTAGATTATGTTTAGAGACAACGTCACTATTTAAATTAATTTTGTAATTTAGCGATCGTATTCATGGTCTCTTAATAACCATGAGTAGTCCTAAAAGCTCAATGCCACAAAAAGTAATTTTTATCAATAAATATCAAATTATTATTGAAAAATCTAGATATAAAAAGATAAGATATCAAATTCAAATCCCATGATGACGTTACTTTCTATGTTTTCCCAACACCTCAACAAAAAAAACATAGCTATCATCCTGAGCTAGACTATGATATCAAGTTTTGCATAACATTTTTAGCAAAATAATAATGAGCTTGAGCATCTTCTAAACTTGAATCTTGACTTGTAGCTTCAGTCTTCAAAACCTGTAAGTACAAAAGATTGAAAAAATGATAAATAACTATTGATAAAATAACATATATAATTTTAAATGAGAAATAGTTAAATCGCTTACCCCAAAAGCAGTCTAAATTCACCAGGTGTTGTCCAACAACATCAACAAGGCTACAAGAATATAAGAAAAACTAATTAGAAAAGCTTTGGGATGGTTAATCGTACTTTGGTTCGATAAATCCCGTTACGGTAATTCGAGATTTACCATTCAAGATACGAACTATTATGAACAGACAACAACATCACTAGGCTAATTTCTAGCTTGACAAAAGAAACCTATGATGTAGGGGTGATCGAGGACTTTATTGTTGAGATTGAGAGCGACAACTATAACCTACAAGTGGCTAAGGTGTAAGTAAAAGCTATGAAATGCTTCCGACAAACACAGGGAGAACAGAATGTTGGCAGATCATCTAAGCTTTAACGACAGAGAAGTCATTCATTCAATCAAACATTCTGCGATTATGCCGGGCCAAAACTAATTGACACAGAGAGCCACTGTTCACATAATTCAAATAATTATTAAACCAGCATGGCTGACATGAAAGAGTAAAAAAATACAGAGTGTTTCAAAAGAATAAACTTTTGCTGGTTAAACTAGCACAATTCAGGTAAACACAAAAATTATGAAGAGGCAAAAAGATAGGAAAATCATATTAAAAAATGTATAAAAAGGCCAAAAAGACTTTTACTGCAGTGTTTAAAAATTAAACTAAATAAAGATAAAAGATAAGAAAAATATTACGATGCACACTACTTGTTACGATCAGATGAACATAACTGATTCAACTCTAAGGTCGCACTTTCTAGTCGACTCGGCTCCTCTATTTTCAGTTAATACATTGCAATATACAATCAGATGACACTTAGATAAATGAATGCCTGGCGAGAAATCCTAAAATTTCCGGCTTTACTACTAACAGGGCCAACTCACTTTTGTTTGACACAGAAAATACGCGTATTGGTAATGAAACTACTGAAGTCACTGAAAAAATCACAGGGAAAAAAAAGCATAGAATTCTCCACCAATTAAATTAAAAAAACAGAGGAAAGGAAGCATGGATAACTGAAACATAAATATTAAATGAAAAAGAAAGGTCATGAGTCAAAGAAAAAGATCATAGAAAATACAAATATTATTGAATTATCATAACTGAAACATAAATCTTAAATACAAATTGCAATTACTACGTCTTAATCTTGAACTAGTTTAATTAGCTTTTCCAATCCAAAATATCAATTCCACTCCATTTGAACCCCTCCTATTCCAATATTCAACTAGTTTGGTTGGACAATTTAACATAATAGAAAGAAATATGCAGACCCATTAAGGAACAATATAAACTATACACAAATTTAAAGAAGATCAGAAGTAAAACAAAATAAATAATAACCCATAAAGCTCAAAGAAATTTTTATTTTGCTAGATGACAGAATAACAGACACCCATAATTATTTTTAGTTAACATCTTACAAGCTCAATTATGTAGCTGAAACCAACATATCAAGCCTTTGAGACCTAATTTCCAACAAATTAAATAGGGCAATTGAAAAACAATTTTAGAATATGAGTAATAGCAATAAATCTTGAAAACTCAACATATAAAAGGCATATAGCTCATGTACACAAGAGAAAATAAATCAGCATGCTCAACAAAACTCAGGAAAAGTAAACTGCACAAAAATATTCACAATGTCAGTAGTATAAACCTTCAGAAACAGCACCCAACAATCAGTTTATAGAAGAAATCCCAAACAACAAACTTGAGCAAACAACAGTAAAAATTATAGCAGCCCAAATATCCTCAAGATTAATCCCTCACGCTACAAACTTTAATACACTTCAGAAAATTAAATTATTAAATCAGGAATCCCAACCCAATAATCTTACTGATTATATAAACGGAAAAATACCAATTTTTTAATGTTAGAGAAGAAGAAGAAGAAGAAGAACTGCAATCAGCGAAATCAGAACGCATAGAGAAGAAAAAGAGAAACTTGAAAGAGGAGGCATACCTTGAACTCTCAAAGGAGGAGATGGAAACTAGGGCAGATGATCAGTTGATCGATTTCGCACACGACCAGACGAGCGATACCGGCTCTAACGCTAGCTAGACGGAGATTAGGGCAGAGGATTTTATGCGGTACTATGTTTTGAGAATACAGAGGTTTAATTTTGTTTTTAGAACCTTTTACTTTTTAGTTTTGGCGCCTAATTTTTAGAAAATAATAGTTTTTTAATATTTTGGTATTAGATTTGGCGGCACTCTCTCACACTCAAGGCCTCTCAATTATAATTTGGGACCAGTTACTATTTTTTTTAGGGACGAGATTTATTACCTTCGCAATAAAATAAAGCATTAAGAACCGCAATATTATCTCGTCCCAATACATATATTATTAGCGACGGGATTATTAACTCGTCCCTAAAAGTTGGTCTTAAATAAGGCTTTTTCTTGTAGTGGTGTGTTTGTGATAGATCTTAAATACTCTTGCCTTATGTTTTAATGATCTAACAAACTTACTGTTGAGAACCAGATAGGGAACCTGACCTACTTGAATTGCTGCAAGCTTTAACGGATTCCAGCTAAAGGTAAACTGCTACAGCTTCAGGAGCTAGGAACCAACACAAGGACCTGATGCTCTTGTGGTTTCCTCGTAGCAGTACAAAGTCAATTGGACACAACTGGAAATGAAGTGACTGACGGCACTGTTTCTGCCGCACTGCACTGCACTGTCCGCCCACTCATTCT